TTATAAGCCTATAAGTACTAAGTATACGTACTAATAGCAGACGTATAACTATTATAAACCTACTAGTATAAGCTTACTACTTATATATAGATTAGATTTCTTATTAAATATATATCTAGTAATTTATATTAAATTTAGTATCTAGTGTAAAATAAGGTCTTTACTATATATAATATAATATTTAATAAGAAATAACTCTTAAATAGATTAGTAAATAGATTACTTAATAACCTTTATAAAGTTAACCTTATAGTAATTTAATAATAAATTAACTAGCTAATAGTAGCTAGTAATTAATCCCCTTTATATAAAGAAGCTAATAAAGAAATAAATAAAGTAATTAAGTATACTAATATTACTTTACTAGGCGCTCTATAATTAAGTAATATACTAGAATATCTATATAAGCAGGTAAAGTTTACGCTTCTCCCTACTTTACTACTATTACTACTAAGCGCTTTTTTTAAAGCCTTTATAAATATTAATATAAGGGGTAGTAAAATAAGAACTAATACCTTTAAATTAATTAATCTAATAGCTAATAGCTAAATAATTAATAATAGTAAAATAATTAATAGGTAAATACTTAATTTAATAGTTAATAGCCTATTTATTACTTTATTAATAGCTAATAGCCTATAAGCTAGTAACTTACTAAAAACTAATAGTTCTAAAATAATAAAAATATTCATCCCTTATACCTTATCTTATCTTTATATAATTAGTTTATAAGACGTTACTTAGTTTAAAAAGATATTAAGTTCCTAAGTAACTATAGCTAGCCTATTAGGTAATCTCTAGCTAGTAGTAACCTTACTTAAAGGCGTTACAAAAAGATATTATCTTACTATATATATAAGTAGTTAGATTCAGAGAGTTAACAAAAAAAATACAAATTCAATACAAGTGTTAAGGACTTTTAGGTGTAGCTAAAAGATATATATATATATATTAGCTTATATAGTATATAGAAAACTATATAAAAATAGACATTAGGCTGAGATTATTAATCTAGATTTAACTATATTTTTATTTCCTATTTAGGTAAAAGCCCCGCTTTTAAATCCTAGTTTTTAAAAGTCTATTTTTAGTATATACACTAACATGTATTGTATTATGTCTAGAGAAAAATACAATATAAATACAAGTTATATTTACTTAAATATATTAGTATATAGTTACTAAAAATAGAAAGTATATTAAGAAACCCTTGTAATAATTCTTAGATCTATACTATATATTAATTATATAATTTATTACTTAAAGTTAAGCCTTATAAGTAGTGTATTTTAAAAAAAATACAAGTCTCTATACAAAATACACTTTTAACTCTCTGGTTAGATTACACTAAGGACTTTATATAAGGCTGCTTTTTTTATAAGGCTTACTTTATAGTAAAAGTTTATAAACGATAAATAAAGCAGCTTATAGGTAATAATATAGTTTAGTATATTATAAAGTTAACTAATAAGTAAATATTACTACCTTTAGCTAAAGCGCACTTAAGGCTACTTAATTAACTATATAACGCCTAATAAGTATAGTAATTATAAAGACGTTACTAGTAAATTACTAGTATATAATAAAGGTATTACTAAACCCTATAGGCTAATAAGTATATATTAGAAGTTACTATACCCTCTACTAATTTATAAATAGTTAAAAAGCTACTTATATAAAAAGTAATTTAAACACACTAAAATTATATATCTATAAAGGTATAAAATATTAAAATCTTAAGTAATAGTGCTATAAGTAGTAGCTAAAAGACACTAAGTCTTTAGCTACTACTAAGTATATACTTATAAGCTTAATAAATATAGTTAATTAACTAAATTTAAAGTAAGACTTATTATCTATAGTAACTAATAAGTAAAAGATCTATAAAATACTTATATAGCTATATTAATAGATATATTATTTAAAACACTTATAGTAATAGCTACTTACTTTAACCTAGAACTACTTTAATATAATATAGGAAATATATTTATTTATACTACTATTAATAAGGTAGTATTTATAAAGGTATCTTTAGGCTACTAAATTACTAGCTAGATCTTTTAGTTATTGAAAGCACTCTATAGGCTCTAATAATCTCCTTTACTATAGTAAAAGCACCTTAAAAAAGGGCTTATTATATAGGGATTTTACTAAGTGCTTAGTAAGAATTACTATTAGAAAAAGGATTATATTATATTCTTTTTTTATATTAATAACTATATATTAGCCTATTACTATATAGAAAAAACATAAGTAAGTAATAAGATAGTAGCCTTTTAGTAGTAATACTACCTTAAACGTAGAGGCCTATTATAATAGTTCTTTAGCCTTAAGGTAATTTATAACTAAAGTAACTATTATTTTTAGCTTTTATAAGTAGTATACTATAGTAAAATAATAAAACTACTACTAATAAATAATAAGTATAAATATAATAAATTATTACCTATAGTAAAAGCTAAGCTACTACTTAGTAAATATATAGCCTTATTATAAGAGGTTAACTAATATTAAAATAAGGTAAAAATAATCCTTTATATAGTAGTAATAACTTAGCTAGACGTTACTTTTATAGCTAGCTAGCTTACTTACTTTAACTATAATCTAAATCTAGATTACTAAAAGGCTATAAGTTATATACTTAGGTACCTTTATTAAACATAGTACCTTTACCTTAAATATAAAGTAATACTAAGTAGTAAAAATAATATATATTAAAGGTTACTTTAGACGCCTTATTTACTAATAACTTACTAGACTATTATAGCTTATAAGTATATATACTAAAGCTATTTAAAGGGCTTATCTCTTAGTAAGCTAATAAATAAGATATAGTAATAATATTAACTACTAAGGCTAAATTACTAGCCTTATTATTTACTATAAAAAAGGCGCTTTTTACTAGTAGATTAATTACTACACTAGGTATTTAACTATTAATATAACTAAAAACTAAATTTTTACTTAATAAGTAGGTAGCTACTAAACAGCTGCTAACTATTTATATTAGCTATAATAATACTTAAACTATTAGGCTTATTACTAAAGAGCTTATTTAATTATAAATAAGGCTATAGTATATAGATATTTATAACTACTAGCTATACTAAGAAGTAGTAGTAAGTTAAATTACTATTAAATATAAGAAGTCTACTAAATTAATAGCTAAAAGATTAATAAAGGCGCTTAGTGCGCTATAATTTACTATATTTATAGCTTAATTAAATATAAGTAACTGATATATACGCCTTAAAGTAAATTAATAGTAAGAATTAGCTAATAATAAAGTAAAGCTTTACTACTAAATAAAGGAGGAAAACGTATAGGATATTAGAGAATAATTAATAAATAAATAGGCTATATATAGAGAATATTTAGTATAGGCTCTATAGTAATTAATTATATTACTAGCACTAAAGGGCTATATTAACTATAGTAGAATTATATATAAATTAGCTAGTAAATATATAGTTACTTTATAGTAAATTATTAGGGAATAAGTAGTAAATTAGCCCTACTTTTAGGGGTAGCTTTACTAATAATATTACCAGGATTAACTAAGGATTTCCTAACTAAGAAATAGGGGTTTTTCCCTATTTCTATAGGGATTTACTATAGTTATATAACATATAATATAATTAATTAAGTAACTATTATAATCCCTACTATTTTATAATAGTACTATAAGTATTAACTATAAGTAGCTTAGTTAGTATTAGTAAGGAATTATTTAGGGCTTAATTCTTAAAGGTAAAGTATAAAGTTAAATTCTTATAGGTCTTTAGCTTTATTATCTAAAAAGAGAGTGCTTTATTAATTAGAGGTAAGGTTTTAAGTAGGGGTTATTATTTTAGTATTTAATACTAAGGGGCTACCTTTACTAGTAGATTAGGCTATCTTAGTAGTAAGAAGAAAAAAAGGTTTAAGATATTATACTTCTATCTCTAGAGAAAGTAAGAGTAACCTTTAAATAGTATTATAGTAGTAATACTATATTAGTTTAGTATATAACTATATTTCTTATTATAAAAATTTAAAAGTAAAAAAAAAAAGAATTTATACTAAGGGGGCTAGTAGTCCTACTAGCTATTATATAGCTATCTATTCTATTTATAAATTACCTAATAGTTCTTATAACTAGGGGTTCTAGTTCCCCTGCCCTTTAGTAGATCCTTTAGTACTACAGGGCTTACTAGCCACCAGGGCATAGGTACACTAACCACTAAGGCTTAGGGCCTTAGCTACTAAGGCGTAGGGCACAGACTACTATAGCTATAGCGCACTTACCACTAAGGCTTAGGGCACACTAGCCACTAAACCACGCTATAACCACATTCCCGTCTGTGTATCCCCCACGTGACCCCTCTGGCTGTGACATCCTAGCAGGTTCTAATACCTTATATCTAGTAGTAAAGGGTGCGCTCTAGTATACACTAGGTTCTTAAGGCCTTCTAGATAGTTATTTTGTTATAAATATTGTCTAAAGCGCGCTAAACGTCTTTAAGGGTATATTTAGCTATAGTAAAGTTCGTAGTATCTTTCAAAATAATTATTTGATTTTTAGTTGTTATTAAATTAATAGGAGTATTGTTATGATTGATGATGTGTAGAGGGGAAGAAAGTGCGGCGGATGTGGGGGTGCGGCAGATGGGGGTGGGCTGACTTAATCGTCCACTTATTGTTTGTTTTCTACCACAAATGGCTCTAGAAAAGTTATCATTCATGATATTGAAAATTATCCCCCGCAGGTTGCTGGTTGGACGACGCGTCCTTGCGCAGAACATACACGCTAACGCTAGGTAAAAATGAAAATGAAATAATGAGTATTTAATTACCGATATCCTGCAGTGATGCCAAATTTATCCTAATCACCCTATTCCGTTGGGTCGCATGACCTTTCGGCGGCGGATGATCTGGTCATACCTGCGCAACAGAGTGGCTGTTCACTTCGTACACAGTGACTCCCCACAAAATTTCATGCGGAGCCGTCATAGCTCTCAAGGAGCAACATGACTCAACCACGGACTACTGAGATCAGTGAAAAAGCTTGCCCCTTTGACTTCTGTTGGAGCCCCAGGGGTGGTAACGTTGCATGTCTCGATCCAGTTGCCCTGAGCTTCCAGCTTTGTAGCTACGTATTGCTTGTAGTCCTTCAACAGGCATGAGGAGCCGGGTCCACTCCTGCAAGACGGCACCGGATATACAGCGTCATTGAGACGGATGCGCACGTACGTCTCATTATGAGAGCCTTGTAATGGGGAAGAAAGCTGCGCAGAGCTGAATCTCCCAACGGATCTAGGCAACTGGGCTTGACGGGTCGCGTTGACAGACGTACTGTTACCAGCTATGAGGCAGTTGAGCCGCTCAAAAGCAATCGTACCCCTCATGGTGGTAAAACGAGAGCTGACATACTGTCGGTTGCCATTTCTTTCAGTGCTGGATAAGGGTTGTTGTTCGTCGAAGACTCCGGAAGCCGTTATCAACTGGTTGAGCTGTCCGTCATTGAGGAAAGACATGATAAGCTTTGGTAGGTTAAAGGAGCTTCCATCTTCGCGTTTGCCGGTTACAGAAGGACCCTCATCCAGAATACCCATAAGAGCATTAAGGAAGGGAGTCATCATCTTTTTGGGAACGTGGCTTCCGGGACCAACACCGTAGTAGTAGCGGAGGTCTTGAAAATATTCATACTGAAGAAACTCATCGTCCGTAAATATATCGCACCATGGTGATAACCGTCCTGTAATCTGGCTTTCAAAACCGCATAGGTAGGGAATCTGGGAAATGTCATCCGGCGTAAGGGTGAGATTTCCCTCGACGAGTGCTTGCAGGCGTGCTTGAATAGGCAGGATGTAGACGCTGTTCCACTGAGTTACAGCATTCCCTCCCTCATTGTCCTCGAATGTTGGACACATGTCTGATGGCGCCAAGCTGTCGCCGATGCCTCCGGGGAAGCCACGAGACGTGACAGATATCACATCCCCAAGCAAAGTGGCATTCATTCCAAGGAAGCCACGGACAAAGAGTTGTGCAGTTTGAAGGACGCGGGAATAGTTATTGGCCCAAACCATGAAATCTTCGCCTTCAGTGTAGAGATCTGGATACCTGCATCTCATCAGCTAAACTCTTCTTGCTGTAGTGACAATGTGTAATTACCTGGTTCGTAGGGTGTAGCCAAGGTCGTGGAGTTCCTTGTACCCAGTCGGGCTTAAATTGGAAATTTGGGATGAGGGATTGGTCAACACTGTTTGCCATTCGGGCAAAAAGCCAAGACTTCCCGATGCAGTATAATTTCCCGCTTGAAACTGTACAGGCTTTGGTTAGAACTGTTATGGCAGCTTGCATACAAGTAATAATGAACTGACTCGCTGTTGCATCGAGACCCATCCATTGTACGCACCAGGGTCAGGGTATCGTGACCCGTGGCGGAGGACGTAAGCCGCCTGGTCAACATAGCAGTTTTCGGGAATATCTGAAGAGATATCGTTGACGTTGGGTCCTGGTGTACAAACGTTAATTGATGATGGGAGTTGGTTTTGAGGGCCAATATACATACCCGCGAACCAAGGACCGTTGGCACCCAGATGCTCAAGCGGATGTGCGGCAGACTTGCTGGCTGGAAGGTTGATGTCCTGAACTGGAGCGAGGAGCCTAGGGTTTCCCTCGACCAGGGTCGCCGCAAGGCAGATGATGCCAAATTTGAATGCTGCCATCGTTATCATTTGTCGCACTGCCAGGTAACACGGAACAAGACCATCTTCCTACTGCAGAATAACGGTGAGTTGCCGGACCACTATATACCATTGGCGCTGGGCGTGTGCATGATATCTATCGCGGACAGTCCTGCTGCTCTAGGGAATCCAATATTACTACCAAGAAGCACGTGAGAAATGCGGTTCCCTGATTCGGTGGCACCGGCAAGGTTGTGGAGAGACGAAGAGGATGCGATGCCGGATGAGGTGGTATCCCCGCGATTGCTCCCACTAGCGTTATCAGCAATGTCACCTTCGGAACCGGACCGTCTCCGGACCGGAGATAATGCCAGTCTTTGGCTGATTTAATGTATTGTTGAATTTCGATGGCATTGGCCAATCCAGTCGACACAAGTCAACACAAAAACAACATAACCTCTGGATAGTTCGAGTGAACGCTCTGATATGACGTCAATTACCATTTTCGGAGATTCGTTGACTATCGAATCCTTGCTTTCATTACCATCCTTTAACATCATGGTACCTTGCTATCACAGGAGGCTCATGTATGTGTGGCGGATGCCGTCAGCCACACCACGTGCCATGTCACATGGACGAGCTCGAGGGCCCTCTTTATGTGCCCTACACCCGTGAGATTCTTCTTCTCACAATTTAAGCCTTTTCTTCACTCATTCGTATATCCCTATCTCCTGTGTGCTCTAGATCATGAGACTTGCTCTTCTCATCCTCGAGACCGTAGCCAGCATCGGTTATGACCAATTCGTATTCAGAGAACACCTGATTTTGCACATACACATACGAAGATATGGTAGGTGAACTTTCTCTTCGGAACGATATAGAGGTAAACCAAAGTCGGAGCCGAATTGTGGCGCAACTGCTTGCTATTACTTTACCGTGGCCGAAAGCTCGTTATGTGCCACTGCAATGGGAAAAGTGTTGTATGTTGAAACTTGATATGTACAAGAAATGGCAGAACGAGACGCAATAGCAAGAGTAATATTACATTGCTGTGCTATCTAGATGTAAGGACCAAGGTCGATATGACCATCACCATCAAGAAGCTGGAAAAGGTTGAGATCACTGAAGCTATGATCGTCATTTCTTCCGGCAAGTGCAGACAAGTCTGGGGTTTGCGGCAGAGACGCGGAAAGACCAAGAAACGATGCATCCAAATCCGCGAATGACGATGAGTCTAGACCCAAGAAGCCCGAAAAGAAACCGTTAGACTTTGCACTTAGTGTTTTGCCTGCGCTTGTAGGTGTGACATGGTCTTTTGTTGTAGGATGGGCGTCCCGATTAGCCTCTGCGTTGTCGCGAGGCACAAGGCCAAACAGCTGCGAGGAGCTTTCTGTTCTTTGAGTTCGCTCCTGTAGCTCCTTTTTCTCCAAATAATCGAGAGCTGCGTTGAGCAAGGACTTTGCAATAAGCGAATACTGTGAAGCATGTGCATCACTTTTGGCAAAATGCTCTAGGACCATAATGGAGTTTCGAGTGTACTTCTCCAAAATTCGGCCAAATGATCCCAGCAATCCTACGCCTAATATAAGTGACGAAGCGAATAACCATGACCTTTCTCAGTTAGTTGAAGGCAAATGGCCGTAAGTTGAGTATACTCACACTATCAGCGGCATGTGCCCGTTGAGGTACTCTCTCTCAGTGAGGTTGACCAGGGTATCTACCATGAAGCTTGCCGCATCGATGCATGCATCGGCAAGTTTTGACTTGCCAGATACGATTCCAGTTTTACCAATGAAGCCACCCGCAGAATTGTCAGCCAGACGCTTGTGCAGTTCATACATCAGAAAAGGTCGCGATACTAAGATAACGGCTGTGGCAGGGTCAGTATCTGTCAAAATCTAGCCGGGCCACAAGATTTGAATCTCACCATAATAGTAAGAGCAAAGCACTTGGCAAGCCCCTGTTATTTTGCTTAAGTCGTCCTCAGTTGAGGAAATGGATACAGCATCTTTCAATCTCTGCAACCAGCGCATTGACCAGTCTCGTAGCTGTCGTGAGATGCCCTCAGTCAGCTGGTAGGAGACCTTCCTCCTTGAATAAACCTCTACGACGATGCCTTCGGTGATCAGAAAAATCTGCGCAGACGCATTGAGAAGATCAAATGTTTCGTATCCATTATCGTTTATTGCTCGATACAGCACAGTACAGTCGACATCAGATGTAGCGGGCGGGCGGCCCATTGATGTGCTTAAGAAGAGATCTAGCACGCGCAAACTCTTCCATAATCGATCCCTATAAGAAATAGTCAGTTGTCACAAAACATATCATGAAGAGGATGAGAACCGGTTCCGTACCTTTGTCTGTGTACCTCGGGGCCAAATCGGCTGTTGATCTCTGTGCGATGTATCCCGACCGAGTATGCTGCTCTAACTGCGATGCCTAGAAAGTAATATTAATAGAGAGTCTTTTAGGTAGCACTCCATCTTCTGTCTGACTTACCAAAGAACAGGAATGCTCCATTCATTTGACATGACCCGAGCATGTAAAGAGTAACGAGAATGAAAGACTGAATAGTTGGGATGTTAATGTTACCACTGAGGTTGGTTAACGCAATGTTGCGTGCAAATTCAAAGTAAGACGAGGCACGGTCTTCATCGGAAGATTGGTAACCTATGGCAAGGACGAGATAGAAAGTCGCAGATGATGCATCCTGTAAGCGGTGTGTTTGTTGGGCCCAGGATCCCAACTCATTCACAAAATGCGCATGGTTGAAGAGATCTACAAGGCCACTGGTCTGCGGAAAACGTCGCATGGTCATCAAATTTGCTCTTTCGGTCGGGAATCTCAAACTCTCTTACAACTGCATGATAGGTAGAGATGGCTTCGGGTATCGTTGCCAGATGTAGGCCAGGCTCGTCGCTGCCGGAGTAGTGGGCGGGCGGTCTGAAAGGGGGGTTTTCACTTTGATGCGCGAAGACTTGTGGATCTACGCGTGTGTTGACCAGCTGGCGGACGGTCTGGAAGAACGACAATGGAGCGCAGTCTCCAATAAAAACTACATTGTCGTCCGTCAGTTGGAGGCGTCAGCGTGGAAACTATGAAACGTACTCAGCTTTCCTTGAGCATCACATAACAGACGCGCCTCCCTCGGAACCTCAGTCTCCTCTTCAGCCAAAAGGTCGTTTGTCGAGCCCGACTGTCGAGATTCTGCCTGATAATTCTGACCGTCATGAACACGTGCATGCACAGAAGGAGAAGGAGTTCCTGGCGTGGGGGCCGGTGCTCTTCGTCTCTGCTGTGGCGAGTACCGACATGTGGAAGGACGGTGGCGTCTCAAGCAGTAACCACATGGCAGTTTTCCGTCACATTTGACTGCATCCGAATGTCAGAGCCGGGAGTAAGAGGAATGCGGAAGTATAACATGCAAAACAAGCGTAATTCCGCCATTGCTCCATGGACCTAAAGAGCATTGGGAGGTTGGTCACAAAGCCGGTGGACATGTTACCTTTTCGAGCTTTACAACTGTCGCACGCGTTGGCAACTCTTGTGCGAACATAAGTGTGCGGCGATGGCTGCCGAACCGAGACACCGTCCATGATGGTGCCGCCGGTATCACTTTGTTGTTGCAGGCACAGTTTATCGGAAGGTAGAAAATCGGACACGGAGAAGGAAACTACATCTGCCGAGGTCAGGAAAACTTTCGGACTTCGGAACAGATTCTGCGCTAGCCCTGATTAGGTGATGGCATTACAAGTCCTAATAAAGGGACCCCATGACGATGACTCCGTACAGTAATTCCGATGAATTGTACGTTGACGGCTGCACTGTGTTTCTAGATCAAACATCCAAGAACCCCGCCTAGCACTCTTGTTATGACTTGGCTGCCTTACAACGCGCTACGTTACGCATATCAAGCTATCCTTTTGTTAAATGTAGCAAAAGTACATGTGAATTCACTGGCAAATACACGGTTGCCCTACAGCAAATCGCCAGGGAATAGGCAGTGAAATAGCTTTACTTTAATAGTAATTTCACTAATATGTTGTTGTTGTTGTTGTTATATGTAACGCCTGGTATGTTCCTAAGAAGGACAAAGGGCGCCTAGGGTAGCTGGCTCTAGTATAATCCTACTGTCAAATGTGGCGGAATTACGCGTAAATTAGCTGGCGAATGCATGGTTGCCTTATGGCAAATTATTAGGGAATGGGTAGTGAATTTGTCAAATATGGCGGAATTACACGTGAATTAGCCGGCGAACGCACGGTTGCCCTATGGCGAATTGTTAGGGAATAGGCGGTGAATTAGCCCGCTTTTAGGGGTAACTTCACTAATAATATCGCTAGGATTAGCTAGGGATTTCCTAACTAAGAAATAGGAGGTTTTCCCTATTCTTATAAGATTTCACTATAGCTATATAGTATAATTAATTAATAAACTATTATAATCCTTATAATCTAATAATTAATAGTTTAATATATATATTTATAATAACTAATATACTTATTTAATAATAAATATTACTATAATAATTAATAAGAATAATAATAATAAAGTAACTATTTATAGTTATATAGTAATTAGATTATATAGCTTAATACTATCTAAGTAAAAATAAAGTATTATAATATTATAGCTAGTTTCTATATAGTAAGATTTCTACTAATAGTAAGTAGAGGTTAGTACTTAGTTAATAGTATTTATCTTTTCTTACTGTCTTATTAATTACTTAGTAATTAATTAAGGCTTAAAGTTATAAGGTAGCTTATATAGCTTCTTATTAATTAAATTACTAAGGTTAGATACTAAAAGGTATTTAGAGAATATATTATAAGTTAATTACTAAAAAGCTATAGGAGTCTATCTTTAAGTGCGTCTAAGTTTATCTTATATATAAGTCCTAACTATTCCTAAATAGTTCCTTTAACTAATAGTTATAAGTAATTACTATCCTTATATAAAGTAAGCGCTTAGTAAACACTAGTAAGCACTTACTTTTATAATTACTAGTAATTACTTTATCTTATAATTACTTCTTTATCTTTATATAACTTATATTATAGTTCTTCTATTTTAAGAAGTTTTTTATTTATTCCTTATTTCTTATTTATATAAATACTACTATTACTTACTATTTATTTATTAGGTAAAGTAATATAGCTTATAACTTATTAAGTTATAATATTAGGACTTCTCTCTAAAAGGTTTTACTTTTAAGACTTATATAAGTAGGTTATGTCTTCTTAAGTTAAGAAGTTATTAATTATATTTTCTTTTTTTCTTATAATACTAACGTAATATCTAGTAAAAAGGATTATTAAAAAGCTTCTTTTATATAACGTTACTTAAAACTTACTTCAGTAATAAAAGAGTTTAGTTTTAACGTTATACTTTATTTCTTTTATTAGTTAGTAGGTTATTACTATAAGATACTTATAAGAAAGTTAAAGTATTATAAGTATACTTATTATAGTTATTTATATAATATAACTATAAATACTATTTATAAGTATAAAGGCTTTTTTTCTTATTAACTTTCTTATTTTAATAAGTATTAGTAAGTTATCTTCTAACTAAGTCTAATTAACTAGATTATAAAAAAGAAGAGGCTAAATAGCTTCTTTAAAGGCATACTATAGTACTATAAAAGGTATAAGCTAAAATAGATAAATCTTTAGTAAAGTTAGATTATTTTTAGTAAGTAAAAAAAATAGTGTTTAAAAAAAAGTAAAGTATCTTAAATACTTTTTTTAATAAGTTTACTAAGGTTCTAGAGAAATCTATAGTTATTTATAAGGTATAGTCTAATAGTGCTTTTAGTATAGTTAACTAAAGTACTATATAAGGTAATCTAGACTTAGTAAGTTTTAACTTTAGTATACTTATAGAAGCTACTAAGAATATTAAAGGTTTTTAACTAGTTCTTATAAATTATTATTATATTTATAATCTTTATATTTAACTAGGTATTAATTCTTTTTAAAGTGTTAGTTAATAATTATTTAAATATTATACTTTAGTTTATATAGTTTAATAATAATATAGTTATTAGTATTTAATCCTTATAGTACTAGTTCTAGTAGTATAATATAAAAGACTAAGTAAACTTTTATTATATTAAGTAAGTTAAGTTTATAGTTAATACTAAAGATCTTCTTAAGAATCTTAAATAGTCTAAATTTCTTATAGTTAAGTTTATTACTTAGTTACTTTTTTTTAATATTTTTATATAGAAGGTATATACTATCCTACTCTTTAAACGTTAAACCTTTAATCTTTAAAGTGTTAGTATATTTCTTTATTTATATTTTAATAAATTCTAAGTCTAAAGCTACTTTACTTTAAAGTTTTTTTATTTTATTAATATTAGCTATAGCTTTTAATACTTATAGGCCTTCTTAAGGTCTTTTATAGGTAGTTAGTTAAAATCTATAGTTTAAGTAAAATAGTAAGTTTTAAGTGCTTTCTCTAATAGTACTATTATAAG